TCTGTGTTTGTTTGTGTAGGAAGTGTTTTGAAAAGTGAAAGAGGTTAAGCCAAAGATGGAAGATGTAGAAATGTTTCTATGTACAGCATTCCTCCGGTTTAATCGTCATATATTGCACTTAATTTTTTCTATTCTTTTGATTACGTCATAAACAGATGACGAATACTTTCGGTTTATTTAGTGTTGATTCATTAGTGTGTTGAAAATGACTCAGTGAAACCGGTAATGTACTCCAGGAAACAAAATGGCGGAACAAGCAAGACCTGAGACGTGTAAATAGGCCTATTCTGGATTGGGATAGAAAATACAAGAATAGGCTTAGACATTGCCCATGACAAACACAACAGTTCCACTTGATTTCCAGAATAAGTTCGACTGTCCTGTACTAAGCTCCATAAAGTCTGTTAATTTAAACGTATTTAATATGCAATTCATGGAAGTTTTATCTATAATGAACAGTGGCTGTTGAATAATGATACTTGTATTGTTTCATTGGATATAGTTTATAAAACACCAGAAGAATGGTGTTAGGATAAGTAATACTTACATTTAACATGTGATATTTAACAAGGTGTGGATATTTTTATGAAGAGTTGGAGTTACAATATTTATCGTCTTTTAATGTATTGCCGGAGTAGTTCGTTACTGGTTGACTTGCTATCACATAACATTATGTTATCGGTCAAAGATTAGTACGTTTTATCTTTCAAGTGTAAATATAGGTGACAGAAAGATTTTATTAAGAATGTACATACTGATTTTATTACTTATATTAAATAAAATGTCGGTATTCCGTGGTATATATAGCTTTTCAAAAGCGTACCATTAGTTGTTTGTTGTTTGTTATTAAGCACAAAGCTACATAAAGGGTTATCTGTGCTCTGCCCACCATGGGTATCGAAACCCGGTTTCTAACAGTATAAGCCCGTAGACGTACCATTAGTTGTTTGTTGTTTGTTATTAAGCACAAAGCTACATAAAGGGTTATCTGTGCTCTGCCCACCATGGGTATCGAAACCCGGTTTCTAACAGTATAAGCCCGTAGACGTACCATTAGTTTATCGGAAAACGTCTGAAAGTCATTACACGTGGCTGTGGCGTAGCCAGGTTTTACATTCGAGGGGGAGGGTTTAAGGGGAGGCCAATAAATTATAAAGCTGAAATTGATCAAAATTTTTTATAAAATGGTCATTAAAACACAAATCAAATCGAATATAACAGTGTTTATAGTAGTTTTATTTTTTTAATTAAATGATACAAAACGAGTTTATTATATATATATAAAAGTTGAACAATAACCTGTGATCAATATGCCTCGATATTTTAGGAGGGCCCGGACCCCCTTGATTACGCCTCTGGAACGTGGAATTGTTTTGAATATCTGTTATTCCTCCTTAGTGCATTTCAGGTTGCGCATGTCCAACGATACTATTCAAATCCGCGAGTATGAAACTAGTTACGTGCTATAAAAATATTTACTGAAAACTACAACTTTGTCATTAAAACGCACGAATGAATCGAATAAAAAATTAATGTAAAAATTTGCAGTTTGATTCATGACTTATTCTCTCTCCCATTCCTCACCCCAGTGGCTCAGTGGTAAGTTTAAGTGCTTATGAAGCCAAAAATCACGTTTCGATACCCGTGGTGAGCACAGGAAAGATAACCCATTGTGTAACTTCGTGTTTCACAACATACAAACAAACAAATAATTTACTATATTATGTCTACAAAAACAGAAACAAAGATTAAAATATTATAGACCATTTTGTGCTCTGTACTACGGACTTTAACTTAGTAAACAACTTGAACTGCAGTTATACCGATAATGAATTATATTTATTCTAAAAGAACTCTATAAGTCGTCTTGAGCTTTGAATTTGATATTGACAAACTTGAAGAATTAAAAGGAGAAACACGCAAATTTTTAATATCTAATAATAGTACTAACACGGGAAACAAATTGTATCATCTGACTTTCAAAGGTAACAAGTATATTAAATTCTTCTTTTTTTTACTACGCCGATAATATATTACACCATCATATAGTCTCAGACCAGTGTACTGCCTTTTAAATAATATTATGCATTACATGTGATCGCGATTTAGATGATTTATGATTATATGGTAGTTTCAGCAACCCAAGTATGCCAGCTTCGATAAACAGTTCGTCACTCATAATTAAGTAATAAAAAGCTACCTGGGAATTGAAAATTTAGGGCTAACAACTGTCTCGTCTGGCGTCTGGATAATCTGGGTTAGGTATAGTATTTGCTCTGAAACATACTACTTGTCACGCGCACCTGACAATTAGCCCTGTTTTGTCAAATGACTATAACAGTACCTCTGGTTGGTAAAATATCGTACACTCAACGCTTACAAGTGATAACAAGAGTAACTCTGGCTGGTAAACACATCATAAATTCAACTAACAATATCTGCGGTTGATAAAATATCATACTCTCAGTTCTGTCAAGTGAGACAATAGTAAGTAGTACATTTGGCTGGTGAAAAGTCCTAACCTCAATTCTGTTATGTGACAATAACAATATCTCCAGTTGATAAAAATGTCATACTTTCAATCTGTCAAATAACAATAGCAGTATCTTCGATTGGTAAAAGGCCATCCCGTGAAATTTGACCTTGAAAAAGTTAATGTAGGAATGAAGTTTATTGGTTGTTTGTAGTTAAGCACAAAGCAACATAATGGCCTATCTGTGCTCTGCCTACCATGAGTATCGAAACCTGGTTTCTAGCGTTGTAAGTCTGAAAAGCATAATATAACATGCGTGTGTTTTTTATAGCAAAGCTACATTAGGCTATCTGCTGTGCACCGAGGGGAATCGAACCCTTGATTTTAGCATTGTAAATCCGCAGACTTACCTCTGTCCCACCGGGGGACACAAAATTGATATTTTATTTACAAGTGTTGTTTACTTTCATCGTTTACGCAAATGTTTCAAAATTGTAGTTGTCTGGTATGTAGTTAAGCACAAAGCTACACAAAGGGCTATCTGAGTTGTGACTACTACGGGTATCGAAACTCGGTTTCTAATGTTATAAGTCTGCAGACTTACCGCTCTGCCACTGAGGGTCTCTCTGGTTGTCACTGCAAAAAACAAATTAAGTTAAATTTAAATTACGTGTTTGATAGCTTCATATAACCCATTTTTTGAGTAACATTATCAACATAATATTCAAACTAAAAAATGAAAATACGGACGAGGCTTTTAAACCTTACCTTACCTATTTGAGTTTGATCATATCAATAGGTGCTTAATGAAATTGAATATAAGTTAATTAAGTTACTTTTCAATCAAAAAGTTTATATGGAGCATGCCTAAAATTTTTACAACATTGTTGGGCAAACGTTTTGTATGTACTGTTAGATAGACTACTAAATTATGTTTGAAACTTACTGCGTTCATGTTGTTAGTTTGCACAAAAATTATTAATTGTCATTCGTAATGCTGCAGCTGTGGCAAACTAACATCTCTCACTGTATTTAAGTGAGTTTTTCAATTTTAATTGAATATACAAGTCACAGCTAAAGTTCAGCTATGTCGACACTAACATATGTTGCATACGAAGATCATACTTATATAATATATGAAATTGATCTGATAATCAAATAAGAAAAACTGGTTATGGAAACCGAAACAGCTGTCGGCTACAGTACATATGGCATGTTACAGAACTTGGTAACTATTAATATTCGCTAAACACTAAAATACAGTTTGTTTTTTATTTTTATTTTTTTTGTTGTTGTTTAACGAAAACCTAAATAAATGGATAATCGCATACAAATATCTAAATACGACAGATATTCAAATTTTGGTATGTGTATTTTTTTTTAAATTCTGTAAAACATCAATTCTGACACTAGTGACTAAAAATTAGTATAGAATTGCCAAAAAATGTTTTGCTGAAGAGTTTCAGTGATTAAACTGTAAATTTGTAAAAACTATCACAGAGCTACTAATTGTAAGACCTAAAAGTAACTTTCTAAATCTTTGCATTTTCTAACTTGTGCGTTAAGATCATCTTTATATAGTGGAATTCCCGTACAGGTTCAGAAAAACGAGAAGAAAACGCTAGTTACAATCATCATTTCAATTTATGATATAATTTTTAGAAAATGTAATTTTTTTAAAATTCATCTTTTCAACTTCATACATCATAACTTCAGCAGGACGCCCGTAACTAATACCGTACAAACTTCACAGCATAGAAATATGTGTAAAACGTCCCAGTGCATAAGAGCACGAGAGTATTTATAGAAGGTTATCTTTAGCTTCTCCCTCAATCACAACTCTATTTTAGTTCCACTCCTAAACAAATGTAGATTTTTTACATTAATATACATTCTTTTATACATCTTACATTTTTATATGAAGTTTTTAACCATATTTAAACCACACACACTCGTTGATTATCAGTATTCATGTATTCGACTTTCTTTACGTGAAGCTTTTTAACCATATTTAAACCACACACTCGTTGATTACCAGATTTCATATATTCGACTTTCTTTACGTGAAGCTTTTTAACCATATTTAAACCCCACACTCGTTGATTATCAGTATTCATGTATTCGACTTTCTTTACCTGATGCTTTTTAACCATATTTAAACCACACACACTCGTTGATTATCAGTATTCATGTATTCGACTTTCTTTACGTGAAGCTTTTTAACCATATTTAAACCACACACTCGTTGATTACCAGATTTCATGTATTCGACTAATCTACAGCTTTTTAATCCACATTTAAACTCCACGTTCATTGATTATTAGTTCTTTATTTACTTGAATTTTTACATGGAGTTTTTTAATGACATTTAAACTCCACATTTATTAATTATCAATTTTTATATACTTCTTAACGTGAAGCTTTTTAATCACATTTAAACTCAACACGCGTTGATTACCAAAGTTTTTATCCGCTCGACATTTTCTCTACGTGAATCTTATTAATCACATATAAGCTCAACACCATGTTTTTTTTAACATCACATTTATTTTCCTGCCACGCTCGGTACAAAACTGATGCTATTTCCCGATGAACACATTCAATAAAATTGAAATAATTATAATTAACACACACACATTTCTGTGTAATCATATCTTCAATATTTGGACACCGAGTAAATCAAACAAACATTTAATAAACCTTACAGTTAGTACAGTAAAAAACACGCCGAACCACGGTTATTATAGAGCTAAGCTCTTGGTCGTCAAAAAGTGCAAAAGCGTTTCGTATGGACTTTGTTATTTGAACTACCTGTTGAGCATAGGCGTTACTTAAAGTAATGGATACAAGAACGTAACAATGCACTAAGAACGATATTTGTATGCACATCCTCTCGAATAAAGAAACAGCCATTCAGTGAGAAGCTCATCTTTAAATATAGAAGTGGCTTCATCTCTAAAACAGTATGAAATTTACAGATTTCAACATATAATATGATTTTATAATCCAGTACGAAGATTTTTTAAATTCGATATTTTATTATGGCACATACGCCTGCCAAGTTTTATGAAAAGGTATCAATAAAAAAGACTAAACTTTGTTCTGGTGCAAATATTTTTGAATTCCAATAATATGTATTTAACTGAAATATAATTGTTTTGATAAAAATGTAGCACTCGACATTATTATTATTACAAAAGCTTATTAACCACTAACTTAGAACTACTCCAGAATGGTGACTAGTTTTAAATAGTTGGTTTTAGTGCTATAGTATGACATATGGAGAGTGTCTTAATTGTGAAGAAAAAGTGTCAATACAGAGTTTCAAAGTGATATAAAAACGCACTGACATTACAACTTTTGTTGATCACAGAATAATTCTGAATCAATATGGCAAGTTTTCCTTAAGCAGGGCCGCCCAGATGGCAGAGGACATTTGGAGTATTTTGAATTTTGTCCCGGATCCCAAATTCAGAAGAGTCTCTCCGAAAATGCAAATTATTGTTTAACAAAAGATCAAGTAAATAAAATACGAGCCAGAAAAAAAATTCGAAGAAAACAAAATGAACATGAATTAAATAAAGATGAAAAATATTTTTTAAAACTGTAGACAGTTAGCATTCGGTAAGGTACCAGCTCGGAGATACTTTTCTCTTGAAATTTGTAAACTTACCTTTATTTTCAAGTGAAAAATCATTTGATTGGCATTATTGAACATGTTAATTAATTAACTAACTTTCAGAACAATTTCATACAATATATATACGTTATTTTAGGAGGGGCATCCATATTTTAAGTTTGCACTGGGCTCTCTCTAACCTCTGACTGGCCCTTTCCATATGTCACAATATAGTTACAATATTTGAAAGCACTGTTCTCAAAAATTACGATTGGTTCACGAAATCTTCATACAAAATTTGGAAGATTAAAATATATTTTAGTGTGATTTCAGAGGCCATATCAAAATATCCATTTTGAACAAATTTCATGAATTTCACAAATTACCTTAGCGATGATTTTGTTTTTATTTAAAACATGAAATACATGCAGCCACGTAAATAATTACTTCAAGATCTTTACCATTCCTCAAAAAAGTTTATTAATAACAACCTGGTCTATATTAGAATAGGTTAAGTTGATCACGATTACACTTACCAATACAGTATTTCAACAATTTAAAGTAAATAGTAACCAAGTTTGAATAGTGTGAAACAGCGTTTACAAAAGAAAGAAAAAATACTCTTTTTATTTATTAAGTTCCCTTTTTTAAGCATTCAATGCCAAAAACACTAGAACTGACAAAATAATTTACAACAGCTGACTTACATAACTCGTGGACAGTGAAATAGCTATTAAGATAAATAAGATGGCAACGCAGAATTTTGTATCTCCCAGGATAAAAGTGTTGCGATCAGGTTCGACAATACAACATATTTATACGTCATTAATCAAAAGATCCATAAAATTATTGGTGCGCTACCTAGTATCTATTATATGCACATAATAAAATAAAAAGTTGTGAAATGACGTAAAAAAATCAATAACTATAAACGATTTTTCGGGGTTGACCTTTGTTATATGAGACTGAGAAATCTGGTTAGAGTTAAAGTAAGAGTAAGACTTGAGAGAAAGGGCCCAGAAAAATGTGTAACGATAACAACATACCTTTAGCGACTTCCTGTTCTTATTAAAAGTATTAGTTTTTCTTTTGTTGTTGTTTTTTTTTTGACAGCGTTGGTAATGACACTGTTCAAAACGAGTAATATTGTTTTCTTTAACAACTGAAGTATAAATTTTAGGATGGAAAATTATAAACCCTATCATAAAAGTGTTTTGTAAGAAACAAACATTGAATGATATTCTCAATTTTTTAACTTGCGTACAAAATTATTCACAATAAGGGATGTCACGTAGATCAAAGTGGCCTTTGTATTCGTTGTGGCAAATAGTTTAATGCTCCACTATTCTGGAATCTTTCACTCTTTCATCCTCTTAGAGAATCCCTTGAAGAGTTCCAAGGGAATAGGGAAGACGATGGTTGAGTTCTTCTCGGCAGCGATGGAGTTCAGAGTCTGGAGATAACGAAGCTGGAGAGCAGCTGGAGAATCGGAAAGCACCTCAGATGCCTCTCTCAGAGCTCTGGAAGCTTTCTGTTCACCCTCAGCAGCAATCAACTGGAATGATTTAAAACATGAATGTGAGAACTACAGACGGCAGAAATCGATATATTTGTTTTGTTACAGGAGAAAGAGGTTAATTCCTGCTTTTCACCGTTTTCTTAAATAAATTCAAACACTGCTAGAGTAAAGAACCAAATAATTCTTAGAAGAACATGCTTCACAAATATTGTGTATTTCGCACTACTGCACAGAGCTGAAATGAACTTACTTTTGCTCGAGCTTCTCTGGAGGCTTCTGCCTCAGCTGCCATTGCACGTTGTAGTTGTATTGGAAGTCGGACGTCTTTACTGTAAACATGAAAAGTAGATTCTATTTTAGTATCTAAATACTGGACTGTTTACAATTATATTGCAGTCAGAATTTCTTTAAATACTCATTACAATCAGAATACTCAATACCGGCATATTTTGTTATAACATCAAATATACTAGGGGCGTGGCGATACAGCAATACCAAATGAGTATCGTATCGTTAAGCTTCACTACGATTGTATCGATACATCGTCCGATACGATCTATGTATCTTCACGAAATTTAGCAATCTTTCAGTAAACATTGTCTTTTGTACAGAAAAAAAACAGAATTTCTAATAAAGTATTTTTTCTAAAAATTAATGTTTTAATATATGGAGTCAAAGTAGTCACTGTTCCGAGTGTAAAGAGATTTTCATGTTAAGAGTAAAAATACTTTTCTCCATCTAAAAATTAACTATTTTTTTTGTGTAATCTCTAACACCTCCGAAATAAATGTCCACTTTTTTTTTTCAATAAATTTTCATATTTTATCTGCTATATTAACTACCCTAACTTTATGTAAAGTCGGTCAGTTTGACCAGCCTCGTAACCACCATAAAAAATACAAAATAAATTAAAATTATCATTTTTTTCTTTCTAGAATTACTTCAAATTGTAGCAGGAAACTACATTTGCTTACAATAAATAACTTAAAGCTCTTAACATTATACATCTGTTTCTAATTACGATTTATTGTTTTATTGCCCTTTGAAAAGCACTGTAAAGTGTGAAGTATTTAAATAAGACAATGTCAGTAATAGAGGTAATAAATTGCAGACAGTACTGTCAAACTTTGTAATAAACCGTTGGTAAAACTTCTGTATCTAAATAGGTATTGTATCGCGGCATCAATATCTAGATATGTATCAGCCTTAAAATATACACCTGGAAAGTGAAAATTAACGCGTGATATCCTCAGATTTAGCTTTTATTCGTTACTAGTTCGGAAGAATGTAGTGTTCTCCGTTACGTAATTCACGCGAGTACATCTAGCCTGAAGAAAACAAAATTATTTTTTATAAGAATTAGAAAAATCTTTATTAAATACAATAATATCAATACTGATTTAGATTAATAGAACGGATATATCAAAATAATTCATAGTATACTTCCCCCAACATCACTTACATTTCCACTCTTTCAACTTTGACTCCCCATGGGTCAGTACCTTCGTCCAGGCTTGCTTGCATCACATGACTAATACTCTCCCTCTCCGATAGTATTTCAGATAAATTTTTCGTTCCCAGAACATTCCTGAGAGTGGTTGCCGCTAGGAGACGTGTTGAACGACCGTAGTCTTCCACGTTCGTAACGGAAATAGTAGCATTGCTAATACGATAGTAAACTACCGCATCAACCGCCACTGTTACCGAGTCTTTGGATAAGATCTATACAGAAGTGAAATATGAATTTGTTTATAGAACAGCAAAAATTAACTTAAAAATACTTTATAATGTAAAATCTGGTTAGACTGAAGTCGTACCATGATTGTATATTTCATTCGACATTGTAATAGATGCTATATTTAAAAATTCAAAATATCTCGTAAATACTCTTCGAGTTGCTCTTGAAAATTTTTGATAATTTTAAAATCATACCGATTTTCGATAACGTACAGATTTGTGGTATCTGTAATTATATTAAAATATTATTTCATTCACATAACACAACTCAGTCATAAAAATCACTTATGGCTATAAGTAAAGGAGGAAGAAAAAATATCTGAAACATTTGCATTCCAAAAAACTTCAACATGCTGATAAATCAAGAAAGAACCATGTAAAACAGAATATGACATATAAGGGAAGTCAAAATTTCCTTCAAAGGACGTGATTTGTAAAAGAAATAGAGGAATATGTAACTTAGTTTATATATTATTACATATTCTTTGTTTCACTCATCGCATGAAATTTCAGTGATTCCACTTCCCCGAAACGATAACATTAGTGAATGTGAAATATTTTTCTATTTCCTGCAAGGTCAAACTGGGGTTAAACTTCTTCCTCGTAACATGGGTGTGTAGAGTGTGATATCAGAGTAATGTTTTATATCATAATGGAGTCGTTCGTCAGAAGAAGTTTTATCTAGCAATCGTACTAACATTTAAGCTGTATTTTATCTCACTGTACGAGTAACCTGAAATCTTGTTTTTCGTTTTCTACTGACGTTATTCAGTAATAAGCATCCGAGTTAAAGGGCTAACACTGTAACATCCTTTGCTAGCCGATTTAACGTTTTTAAATGTAACAGCCGACCGATGCTATGAGAGAACAATGGTCTCGAGATGACACTGTCAACTGGACAAAGAAACTGAGCTTATCTGTTGAGTTCAGGAGCGCTTTCTTAGTTCAGTATTCTACTAGAAGCTCGTCGAGTAAAGACTTACTTCAATATAATTGTGTTTAGTTCAGTGGAAGTTGATCTCGAGAGAAAGAAAGTTGAGAAGCTAAACACACTCTACTCTATTAAAAACAAAACTGTATGTTCATTTGGACAAGCACGTAGGCTGTGTTTGCTTTTTTGTTTGTTTACTAATAAAGATTGATTTCATTTTTACCAACTTTGTTCAGTCTCACTACTACTGCTGAGAAATCAGGTTTTACCTGAAAACATCACAAAGCTAAGCATTCATTTCGTATTTAAAATTTAAAAAAAATTTAGAACGTGAAGTTTACTTGGTTCACAACAACACGTTTTGGGCATGGTAAGGAAAAATAATATAATTTACATACCTCTTGTGGTGGCACATCGAAAGATACAGTTCTCAGGTCAATTTTACAGTAGGTATCAATACAAGGGACAATGAAGAAAATCCCTGGAATAAAACAGGTTATGGGTAAATATGTTTGTTAAAATCCTATGTAGAGATAAATCAATAAAAATTACCACGAAATGAATTTTTATTGCTTCACACGGGTTTTATGAGAAATGGATCAGTTTGTTTTGTTTAGATAGCTATCTGCTTTCGAGGGCTATCTGCGCTAGCAGTTCCTAATGTAGTAGTGATATAATACAGGAAAGGCAATTAGTCAACATTACCCACCGCCAATTCTTGGGCTAGTCTTTCCCAACGAATAGAGGGATTAACCGTTACTTTATAAAGCCCTTATGGCTGAAAGGGCAAGCATGGTCGGTGACAGAGATTCGAATCCACGACCTGCAGATTCCGAGTCGAGCTCCCTAAACACCAGGCCATGCCGGGCCCGTTTGATGTGAGCTATAGAAAAAGAGTTGAAAGAGATTCGGCCAAATCGGCCACAATCAATCAAATAACTTAACGATATTGACCCTAACAAAACATATTCCCCACCTTCCAACCTGCAGGTATCAAATACACGAAGCAAGTTTAGTTTCTAATAAATGTTAGTTACATAAGGCGAGTTAAAAAAAGTGTGTATTGAGTTAAGTTGTAATATTTTCACCAAACAAGGACGCCAGAAAGAAAAAAATAATAACTCGTACATCTTTGGACCTATATAAATGAAACTTGTAGAACAGATAATTTAATATAATGTGATTTATTCAATTTTTATATTTCTAAGTTATAAATTATTAACGAAGTTATGATTTCAATAACGCTTCTTCATGCAAATAAGCATCTGTGATAATGCATTTTTTTGTTTCTCCTTCATAGTTTTTGATGCTTTACTAATATTTTTTTTCCTTTCCTAACATTGCTGCCTTATTTTGGGTGGTGAAATCTCGTCATCTTGTTTCACTTATATTTGTTTATGCTTTGAATGGTTATCATTAAAATATACACGTCTTTAAGTCAACGTCCCTAATGATGTCTAAGTATAATACTAAGGCACGTAAAAATTATACCGTAACGACATGATCAAGAAACTGTTCTATAAAAGTTTAGATTGAAAACATTACACTTTCATTGGAACTGGCCACCAGGAGAGATCAACGAAGATAAATATCACTCTAATAGAAATTGCTATTTACATATATTTAATGTTGTCCCCTATTAAGTGTGCCACACTATAACATTTGTCTCCCGCTTGGACAGCGGTAAGTCTACAACACTAAAATCATGGGTTCGATTCCCCTCGGTAAACACAGCAGATAGCCCGATGTGGCTTTGCTATAAGAAAATCAACACACTATAAATTTTTTCCATGTAATTTATGAAACGTGCCATTTTTTATTTTTTTTTTTTTGGAAACGAGTTTATTAATGTCGAATATTTAAATATTTTAAAATTAGCTAACACCACAGTAAATAAGCAAATCCTAAAAAATAAGACAGCTAAAACACTGCGCATCAATAAATCAACATTTTTGGAATGACTCGACCAGATGTCACTGTACCAGCTCAGGCTTTACTTTCTTTATTGGTAATTTTAAGCGCAAAACTACACAATGTGCCCACTACGAGTGCTGTAGCATGAGTTTTCGCGTATAACCCCTCAATCTCACTTCTAAGTCGGTGAGAAGATGAAACTTTTCTTATATATCAGGAGTTATTCTAAGTTCTATGGATTTAGTTCTCAAACTGACTGCTAATAAAATATTTAGGCGTTAAATTAGCATTTTACAGTAATAGGTAGCAGTAAATCAAACGATGTTATCTATTAGGTAAAACAAAAACGCAATTACCTAAATAGATCTAAATTATCTCTAAAAAACAATATTTTTTCTGTAATAAGTAAGTGTTTTAATTTTTCATTACGCAACAACAATAATAATTATAGTAATAGACATAGCTTTAATCGCAAAATAAAAAAGGGAAAGGATAAAACAGTAGGTTTAGCCAAATGTATTAAATAACAACACTGTTAAAAAAAACTCGGGAAGTTATCACTGAATATTTCATACAATATACATTAATGAAATTCGAACGCCGAAAGAAATAACTATGGTATTAAATATGCTTTAGATTGAATTCAAGGCGTTCTTTGTTCTCCCACGATAACCGAGCTGTAGCGAATCATTTTCCTGTATTTATTTAACGCCTCCCCCCCAGTGGCACAGCGGTATGTCCGAGGACTTACAACACTAGAAACCGGGTTTCGATACCCATGATGGACAGATCATGTAGGTTTATGCTTAACTTCAAACAAACAATTTAGATAATTATTTTATCCTTTCATTAAAATACTCGTATGTTTGCTGAAGACATGGAAATTTCAGCTCCTAGAATATTAAAAAATGAAGTTTTTGTACAAAACAATGTCGTTTAATAGGAATAATTTTGTTACATATTTTAATTTGCAAACGGAATTGTCTAGTTCGCAATTTTTGATTAGAAAAAGTGAATACTTACCAGGACCTTTGGCTCCACCAAGCAGTAATCTACCCAAACGAAATATCACGGCCCTTTCGTATTCCTGGACCACCTATTTAGGGTTAAAATATGAAAAACAAAGAGAATTAAGTCATAATTATGAATTATGCAATAACGGGTATAGATTGTAGAAATAGAAAATATTGCCACTCTTTATTGGAAAAAAGTTGTATTTCGTCTTTCCAAATATCTGATGTATGATAAGCTGTGTTGACATTTTAAAAGTTAAGTTTTCTTAATATCAACAAAATTTGTTTACAGAGTTTTCTCTTACTTCTACAAGTACTTCAGTTGTCGTATATTGAATATTACAACCGACGATCACCTTCGTAAAATGAATAAGAAAACGTCAAGAAAATATCTTACCTTGATACAGAATAACAATGAGAAGGGAAAAGTGCATATTATCAATAAAATAGATATTCCAGTCAGAAGATAGGCACAAATTCCCCCGCTGTCACCAGAGTCAGCTAGAAAAAAAAAAAACATTGATTAATTATGTAAGCACATTCAAGTACTCCCCCTCCCCTCCATATACATTGACAAAAGAATGTCACACAGTGTAGTTTTTTCCGATTGACATCAACGAATCCGTACAGTGAAACGTTACTGTTAAAGGTACAGCAAGAAAACATGGAAGTAAAACAAGCTACTGGACCCAAACTCCAATGAACTCAAGTAGACAAATTATGTCACATTTGGTCTCATTACCTTCCCAGAGCTATCCATTGAAATTCTGCGATAATAGCTTATAGATATTGATAAGCAATAGGATTCGAGAAATATACCTGACCAAAGTTTTGCCAAACTATTTAGATGAAAGGGGCGAGTGTTGTGCTTTGGACATGACAGTCTTACTACGAAACATTTTATAATGATACTACGGTGCAAGGCTATTGTCAAGATGCACGATCGTCAGATATAGAGCATGGTGGACGTGGTGACATGGGTCATAACGACGTGGTAAGGCTCCAAAATCGTTTTAATTTAACGTATTCAACCTCTGCAGTCTGTTACGTTTCTGAACAAGAAACTGCACAACAGCACTGTAACAACAACGAAAGACTTTACAACTCGTTAGGCGGCGCCAGGTGCTACCGGGCCTGCAAGGAGACAACGCGGAACACGACAACGCTTCATCAACAACCGAATCTAATTAAGTGAAAATTTATTTCAAAATATACGAAATGGCAAACAATTATGGAGAAATTAACATCAAAGAGCTGAAGCAAGCTCTGCGTGAACAGAAAGCAAAGTTTACAGGAAGAAAAAGATAACTTGTTGAAAGGTAAACATCGAAATATTTGGAAGTTGAACGATAATCGGGGATTGGGGACACATTGTCAAACAGGACAGTTTTAATAAATTTACGATCGCTGCTAAGGCGACTTTTTTTTTCTTGTTTTATGGATCCGACAACCCTATTTTAGCAGTTTGGGAAAAAATAAAGTACATTTTTTATTATATTTTTATCCACCTTATTTTGCACAAAACAACTAAATTACCTATCTTTGAAGAATTGTACAATAATTGAGCTTTACGATTCACCCAAAGCGTCAGATGAACGATTCTAGTCCCTAAACCTCAAATCTTGCAATGTAGTGCTAAGAAAGTAATTTTAGTAAATGTAATATTAATATTTTAGAAATCAAATGTGTCTGAAAACACATTATACTTTATAAACCAAGAATATTTAGGAACAGGAAATTATGTTATTGAGAAGATAAATATTTGTTTATACATTTGTAAAATCGGAAACTTTTCATAATTTCACGAAAAAATATGATTCGTGATAATATTTATATTTCATAAATAATTTATAAGTCAAGTTCGAAGTTTATGACCTGCATAATTTATGTTATAAATGCTGTTAAGATGTATTATTTAAAACCTGATTGTGATGTAAAAAACAAACTATTAAACGCTTACATTGCCTGAGGTTGAAACGTTGCTAAAACTGAATTAATAAAATAAATAATTTCTAAACACATTTATAAACAAATTTAAATACAATAAATAAACAACAGCTAATCGTAGTTGTAAAGCTAGGATAACACAAGCTTGAAATATATTGTTTAACCAGTTTGATAAAATATTTCAATCCAAAATTAGCTATTTCTATTTTTTTTTTTCGCAACGCCCCAACAGTATTTTGTTTTCGATTTTTGACGCACATTTAAAGTCTCGTCGTATTTTAATTTTTGAATAGGCCTGCTATTTAAAGCCCGATTTCGTTCAGTTTTCTATCCGGTATTCTTCTGAAGTAGGTCATAGAACATTCAAACAAAGGTAGATATTACGCTAACCCTAAGACTGTAAATATCTATGCTTGCTTTGTTCCTTCTAGACGTATACAAATGCTTTTGCTAGATATCTGCGAAATAGATAATTTGTATCTATTGTGACAAAAAACAAAAACGTGAAAACGTTTCTGACTGCGAAGGAAATCAATAGTTTTAGACCACTTTAAGTTATTTCAAACTTATGCAATCAATAGACACCTTTAAATTTTTTGTAGGTAAATAGCTAACTTCTTATTTCTATAGAATACCTTACAGTTGTTATTTATTTATTAAAACCATACAATAGACGCGATAAGTCTTTGTTGTTGTTGTTGTTTTCGCGGTACATTACAAGTAGTAAAATGTGAAAACATCCACAAGAAAAATTAAAATTCTATT